ATTAAACAATGAAATCGACAGATAAAGGTGGTTTGCACGGTTTACACAAATGAGGGCGGTTTTCATATGATCACTCATCTATATATATATATATATATATATATATATATATATATATATTTACATGAGACTTGAATATAATAATATGTATATTCATATTCATATTTATATTTTTCTCAATTTTTGTCTTTATTATTGATGTAATTATTAGCAAACATTAAATTAATTAGACTATTAATCTTCTTTAGTTATACTCAGCTTTCTTTATTTCTTATAATTAACGAATATATAAATAATCATTATATTTAGAAACTCACTTATATAAATGAAATTATGATTAATATGTATAAGTCTATTTACATAATAATTGAATATAATAATAGTATATTTACTAAATGACCAAAAACACGAGTTTCAATCATTTTTYAGTACAACATAATAAGAAAGGCAAGATTAATCGAGGTTGTTCAAACAAGTATAAGACAACTAAAATGTATTACTGTAGCAATTGGGGTTATGGATTTTCAGTTTATGGGGGGTAGTATGGGACTTGTAGTCGGGGAGAAAATTACCCGTTTGATTGAATACGCGAAGTTGGGATCATAAAGTTAGTTGAGAAATTGTGAAATTGGATTTTATCGACAATGCAGCTCTCGTACTTTGCCAATGTATAACTCACAAACTGTAAGTCGTAATAAGCTCGTATCTTGCAACCACTTTCATGAAGGGTCGAACGTCAGTTATGACTCTAATTGGCTCGAAACAATGTGTTTTCGAGGTTGTTTACATTGTATTTGAGATTAATTTGTTTTTTTTGTAAAACTCGTATAAAATATATGGATAATCAAAATGAGGTGGGTAGATTCATATATCAAAGGTAATATTGATTCTTATTAATTTAATATATAAATGTGATCATCGATTCATTTAGCTAACTTCAATAATTTTAAAAAAATTATCGTTATCGCGCAACGCGCGATGTCAAACACTAGTTATAAATAATTATAAAACTAGGTAAATTAATTTTTTATTAACTGATTATTACAAAACAAACGTTTTTCTAACAAATTTTAAACATTATTACATACAATTCCTACCAGATCCAGTGAAAGTCAAACCATCCTCGTGGGATTTCAAATTCGGGAAATCTTTAATGCGAGATTATAATGGAATTTAATTCTATATCCATTCCATTCCCACAAACTAAATGAGACCTTATGAGCCGTTTATCAAACACTTATCAGTAAGCACTTATCGAACAAATTCAACACCACCACTTACGTATCAGGTAAGATTTTAGTTCACCAAAACGCCATCATATGCAACAGTTTACCCAGTAAGTGATAACTATGGTAAAAGCTGTCGCCATCACTTACATTCGTTCTTACGAAGTAAGATTCTTGGTCATGTCATATTCATCTTGTAAGGTAAAATGACTTGATAAGTATTTATCTGGAGAAATTAAGTAGTATAGATGGATGATTAATATATGTGTGCGTGGTATCATTTAAGTTAGGTAGGATAGATGGATGTGACAAAGCATGGGTCATATGTGGAGCTGCCAAACTCAAAACATTTAACAACCAAATGATCGACAAATACCATATTTGTGTTTTCTTATTAAAATTAAACCCAAAATTTAAGAAAATTAGTCTTTATCGAGAATATATATATATATATATATATATATATATATATATATAAGGTTGGATTCACATGAGATCAAGAGTTTTTCGTGAAACCCGTAAGACCAATTTATGTTCATTGATCAACTTCATAAGCTAATGACCTCATGGTATAAAGTTGCACGATGACAATTTTGTTATTAGTGAGAAATCTTGTGACAATTTTGTGATTATTGAGAAGTTTTGTGGCAATTTTGTGATTATGAATGTTCAGATTGTAAATCTAAATCCAAGGTTTAAAAATAGTCTTACGGGTCTCACGAAAAACCATTGGTCTCACATAATCTCAAGTCTTTTTTTCTTCTCTCTCTCTCTATATATATATATGGACACGCGTTGTGCTGTCCTTTACCCTCTACTTCAAAACCAAAGTTAGGTGCACAACTGAACTTTTATATAACTATACGTAAATAATTAAAAACGAATCATTTTGATAACATTTAAAAAACGAGTTCGAAATACATTTTCCCGATATAAAAATCAAGTCAAATACAAAACATGAGTCCAAAAACCATCCTCAAGTCTCCATCATTCCTCTTATCTTCAACACAATTGCTTTATGTAGTTTCCTATAGTCAACATAGAATGCTTCAAAATACATAAAAAAAAAAAAAAAAAAAAAAAACCAATTTCGTTATTTTATCGAACCAATTGCTCGAAAATCCCACTAAACCCAACCAAGAAATCTCACCAAATCCCTAAAAAAGGCAAAGAAAATAATGTGATACAAATAAAGTAGGTCGTAAATTCACGTGTACCTGATCCCATCCGCAACCCAACCTCTGTAAATTTCAATTTCAATGGTCAGTTCATGGTCCCATCACTCTTTCCATAAATAACTTTATCGATTCGTCAAATTATTATTATAAAACCTAGAAATTTTGTCTTGATGGGGTTTTTTCCCCTTCCAATTTTGACATTTCCTGCTGGAATTGAAGCAATGGGCCTGTGAGAATTGTGGGTTTTGAGTGGTGTTTATGGAGGTGGTAAGGAAATAACAATAAATGGAGGCAGATTTTTTGGCCAAAGAGAGAATATAGTTCTGTATTGACCTTATCTTGTTTTGTTCTTAAAGGTACATCTTTTTTCTAGAAGAGAATCGAATCATGGGTGAGCTGTTCTTTCTCTTGATCTTTCGATGGGTATCCGACCTTTTCTTTTTCCATTAAATTCTCTTGAATTTTGATATATATACTCTTTGATACCAAATGGGATTTTGGGATTTTTTTGGGTGTTTGATCTTTTCATGAATTATTAGGGTTGAAAGTTGGAGATTTCTTGTAATTCCCATGGATTCAAGGATCTTTATTGGTTAGATTAAAGAGGGGTTTGAAGGGAAAAAACTGTGAAAAAATGTCATCTAAATCGACCAGCAGAACCCATTGTTCCAGAAGCAGTTCTTCAAGATTGAAACGAGATGCTCGTGTTGTTTCTCAAACCCCAATTGATGCTAAACTTCATGTCGATTTCGAAGAATCTGAAAGACAGTTCGATTACTCAACTTCCATTGATGTCAATGCTTCAACTTCAACTAGCAATGTTCCTTCTTCGACTGTTTCAGCTTATCTTCAAAAGATGCAAAGAGGAAGTCTAATCCAGCCTTTTGGTTGCATGATCGCCATTGATGATCAGACCTTGAACGTATTAGCTTACAGTGAAAACACCCTCGAGATGCTGGATTTATCCCCACATGCTGTTCCAAGCATTGAACAACAAGAAGCTTTAACTTTCGGAACCGATGTGCGAACGCTTTTTCGATCTTCAAGTGCATCTGCTCTTCAAAAAGCAGCCAATTTTGCCGAAGTGAATCTTCTGAATCCGATATTAGTTCATTGCCGGAGCTCTGGTAAGCCGTTTTACGCTATTTTACATAGAAATGATGTGGGTTTGGTCATAGATTTGGAGCCTGTGAATCCTGCGGACGTCCCTGTAACAGCTGCTGGAGCTTTAAAGTCTTATAAGCTTGCAGCTAAAGCGATTTCTAGATTACAATCTTTGCAAAGTGGGAATATATCTCGAATGTGTGATGTGTTGGTTCGAGAAGTGAGTGAGTTAACCGGTTATGATCGAGTTATGGTGTACAAATTTCATGAAGATGAACATGGTGAGGTTATAGCTGAGTGTCGAAAGCCTGAACTTGAACCGTATCTTGGCTTGCATTATCCTGCTACGGATATCCCTCAAGCTTCAAGATTTCTTTTTATGAAGAACAAAGTTAGAATGATTAGTGATTGTTTGGCTGCACCTGTGAAAGTGATCCAATCCAAGAACTTGGCTCAGCCGTTGAGTCTTTCTGGCTCGGCTTTACGGGCTCCTCACGGATGTCACTCACAATACATGGCTAATATGGGCTCGATTGCATCTCTTGTGATGTCTGTAACAATAAACGATGGTGATGATGACGATGATGATGATAACGAGTCTGAAAGTGGGATCGATCAGCAACAAAAACAAAAGGGTAAACGATTATGGGGTTTAGTTGTTTGCCACCATTCAACAGCTCGATTCGTACCCTTTCCTTTGAGGTACGCCTGCGAGTTTTTGATTCAAGTGTTTGCTGTTCAGATAAACAAAGAAGTTGAGTTAACCGCTCAACTACGAGAAAAACACATCTTGAAAACCCAAACCGTTCTTTGCGATATGCTTTTGAGAGATGCACCAATCGGAATTTTCACACAATCGCCTAACGTAATGGATCTTGTTATGTGTGATGGAGCTGCGTTATATTACAAAAACAAGTTTTCGTTGCTAGGAATCACCCCAACCGAAACCCAAATCCGAGATATTGTGAACTGGCTTCTTGAAGAACATTTAGGGAGTACAGGGTTAAGCACAGATAGTCTCATGGATGCTGGATATCCAAATGCTTCGGTTCTTGGAAGAGCAGTTTGCGGTATGGCTGCTGTCAAGATTACCTCAAAAGATTTTCTTTTTTGGTTTCGGTCCCATACAGCGAAGGAAGTGAAATGGGGTGGGGCCAAACACGATCCGGAAGATAAAGACGATGGAAGAAAGATGCATCCGAGATCATCTTTCAAGGCGTTTTTGGAGGTGGTTAAGAATCGGAGTTTGCCGTGGGAAGATGTGGAGATGGATGCCATCCATTCGTTACAGTTGATACTGAGAGGATCTTTGCAAGATGATGAAGAGACGGGTGACAATGATAAGAAGATCGTGAGTGTTCCAGCCGTGGATACGAGCATTCAAAGGGTTGATGAGCTGCGGGTTGTGGCTAATGAAATGGTTCGGCTTATTGAGACGGCTTCGGTCCCTATATTTGCGGTCGATGGCAATGGGAATATCAGTGGTTGGAATGATAAAATAGCTGAGCTTACTGGATTGCCTTTGGAGCAAGCTGTTGGCGTCCCGTTAATAGAAATGGTCACCGATGATTCAATTGATGAAGTCAAAGTTATGGTCTCCTCTGCTTTAGAAGGTAATCGTCTGCTAATCTATGGTTTCTGGCTCGTTTTCACCTGTCTGGATATACTTCACGTTTTGCGCACATCGGTTAACGAATTCTGCTGTTAATTTATCTTAGTTTCTAGTAATTTGTTTGTTAATCTGTGCTTGTTGGAACATATGAGGAGAGAGGGGAGATTTATACATACATATGTATATAGAAAGAGAGGAAGTTCGGTTGAGAACCCGTTTTCATTGAGAACCCAGGAACCACCCACAGCTCGCCATGTGTCCCTCTTTAGGATCATGAATAATTCATTCATGATGAATATGGGCGTGTTTATTCATCATGATGAATATGTTACATCAATTTTTATGAATATGTTCAAAACATTCATGATGAATAACACGTCCATTTCCGGATGAATATGCCACGTGTCGTGCCGTGCGCTGTTCCCCGGTTCTTAATGAGAAGGAGGTTCCATTCCCTATATATATATATATACACATACAAGTTTGATGTATCAAACCAATGTGAGACTCCAGCATACGGCATACCCCCCCTTAAACGGAGGCAAAGAGTGTGTTGAGTCCCTAGGTGGTGCTATACCATGTTAGGATATGCGAAATCCGTTTGAATTCTTTTTAAAGGAGACCTTTATAGAAAGAGGGGAAGTTTCTACATATATACAGGTTTGATGGTTTGTATCTCGAGCCGACATTCAACTCCAACATGCCTCTTCAAACGGAGGCTAGACGGTGCCCCGAAGAACGGAGGCGAATGAGTGTGTCGAGTCCCAGAGTGGTGCTAGACCCTGATGCTGATACCATGTTAAGATATGTGGAACCCCTTTGAATTCTCTCTAAAGGAGCCTTTTATACAAAGAGTGGAGGTTTCTTCATATATATATATATATATATATATATATATAGCCAAAGGTTATTTTGAGAAGTGGTAAATATTTGAGAAGAAAATAAGTGATCCTAGCCTTTCATACGGTCAAGATCGGATTTAACTGGTCAAAAATTGCAGCTATGCGAAAAATAGATAAGGGTAGTTTTGTATCTTTTACAAATAGGTGGCAAACGGGTTCATATGTGAACCAATGTGATTCACATATGAACTATATGTTCCTATTTGTGAACCCGTGTAATTCACGTATGAATTATTTTAATTGATTCGTATATGAACCCTTGTGATTCAGATATGAACTAATTAACTAATTCACATATGAACCTGTTGGTTCATATGTGACCCGTTAATTAGTTCACCGGGTCAAAAATTGTGGTTATGCGCAAAATAGAGGAAGTAGTTTTGTAACTTTTACAAATAGGTGGCAAACGGGTTCATATGTGAACCTATGTGATTCACATATGAACTATATGTTCATATGCGAACTCGTGTAATTCACATATGAACTATTTTATTTTATTCACATAAGAACTAATTAACTGATTCACATATGAACTCTTGTGATTCACATATGAACTAATTAACTAATTCACATATGAACCTGTTGGTTCATATATGATTTAAATAGTTCACATGTGAACTAATTAATGGTTCACATATAGTTTATATGTGAATCACATGGGTTCACATATGAACCCATTTGCCGCCTATTTGTAAAAGTTATGAAACTGCCACTCCATCTTCGCATGCCCATGCGAGGAATTATCCGGTGCTTCATGGTCAAAGTCGCAAATGTTGACCAGATGAAGGGCTAGAATCACTTCTTTACTTCTCAAATATTTACCACTTTTCAAATGAACCTTTCCCTATATATATAGACACACACACATATATATATATATACACATACATATATATAGATATAGATATATTCAGGTTTGATGGTTAGTGTCTAGTTGATATGTGGCTCCAACACCTTCATCTAGCCATTTGGCAAACACTCTAAAGTGGATCTCATTTGCCACTTTCCTTTCGGCTTGAGGCCTTGTCGAGTGTACCGACCCTTTAGTGAGCTTTTGGTTAATTTTAAGCATGCATATGATTTATGATGTAACCAAACCAGCGGTATCTGGGTTACTAGCCTTTCAGGAGGTCAAGGGTGGGTTCAAACGAGTGAGTGTTTGTGAGTATTTGCTGTGTATAAATATTATATATCTCAATATGATATATGATGTATGTAATACATTGGCAGGCATCGAGGAGAAAAACGTTGAAATCAACCTCAAATGTTTTGACCGTCAAGAAACAAACGATCACATTACCCTGGTCACAAACGCTTGTTGTAGCCGTGATCTGAATGAAACCATCGTAGGGGTATGCTTTGTCGGACAAGATCTAACAGCTAAAAAGTTAATCACCGACAAATATACGAAGGTCAAAGGTGATTACACTAGTATTGTGCGTAGCCCGTGTGCGCTTATTCCTCCAATTTTCATGATGGACGAGTATGGAAAATGCTTGGAATGGAACGACGCCATGCAAAAATTAACCGGTCTGAAGAGGGAAGAAGCCAAGAACCGAATGCTTCTTGGTGAAGTTTTCACCGTTGGTAATTTAGGTTGTCGGGTCAAAGGCGAAGATACTTTGACTAGGCTTAGAATATTACTAAATGAGGTGCTTTCAGGCTTGGATGCAGATAAGATGATGTTCGGGTTTTTTGACCAAAACGGTAAGTATGTCGAAGCGTTACTTTCCGCTAACAAAAGGGTCGATGGAGATGGAAATATTACGGGCGTTTTGTGTTTTTTACACGTTACGAGCCCCGAGCTTCAACACGCAATGATGGTGCAACGAATGTCTGAGCAGGCTGCGTTTAATAGCCTCACGAAGGTGTCTTATTTGCGGCATGAACTCAAGAGTAGTTTAAACGGGATCAAATGTATCGAGGATTTGATGGAATCGTCGGAATTAGGCAGAGAGCAGAGACATATTCTACGCAAGAGCCATTTGTGTCGAGAACAATTAGCGCAGATCGTCAATGATGCTGATATCGAAAGCATCGAGGAATGGTACGGTTTTCTATTCGAATCTTGTTTTGATTTAATCTATGTTCACAATCAATATTGCATACACTACAATTAAATCGGCTTTATAGGACAGTGAGACGTGTAATAGACTGCATTATATGACTTAATTTTACATGACCAACAATTGTGCTTTCTATATAAGGATGTTATAATTTTGAAATAAAGTGTCCTATTAGCTTTTTTTATATCTTTTTTGAGGTGTGTCGATGCACGTCATAGGATTTTGTCTTTATAAGACGCTTTATCAAATGATGTCATATAAAAACACTGATAGGACGTTTTATTTGAAAATTGTCCTAAAAAACTTGTAAAGATGTCCAAAAGCGTCCCATCAACTTACTGTAAATTGTTTAGTCCTTTAGACTTCAGTCTTGTAAACCTGATTCCCGAGACTGGACCAGGAACAGACACAAACTGGTCTGGACCGGTTAGGACCAGTGTTCCATATCCGTGACCGGTGGAGTATTGGTCCTGATTCTTTTGTGCATTTGATGTGGGATAATAGTGTGTTTGAATGATGTTTCATGGCTACTTGTGATGTTGTGGGAATCTGTTTCAGTTATATGGAAATGAAATGTGCCGAGTTCAAACTCGGTGAGTCATTGGAGGTGGTTTTGAATCAAGTGACGAGTCTGAGCCGTGAGCGGAAGGTGGAGGTCGTGTATGATGCACCCGATCAAGTGTTATCGTTGTATGTATTTGGTGACAATTTGAGGCTTCAACAAGTCCTTTCGGATTTCTTGTCGAGTGCTCTCAACTTCACTCCGGCATTCGAAGGATCTTCGGTTCTTTTCCGCGTAACTCACAGGATGGAACACATCGGAGCCAAGATACAAGTCGCCCATCTTGAATTCAGGTGATGAGTATAGAGATGCACAAAAAACTGAAGCCCGACCTTAAAGCCCGATCAGGCAATTTTTTCAAGTCCTGGGTAAATCCCGACGTAGAAAGCCCGAATGGGTCTTCGTTCAACACCAAAGCCCGACCCAAGCCGGAAAAAGCCCGAGTCTTTTTTTGCTTACTGAAAGCAAGCTTGGAAGGCCCAGACCTGGAGAAGTTCGGGTCTTGTGCAACTCTAACCGAGTATTACTCGTGTTTATAATCTTATTTTGTTTAGTATTGAACGTTAACACGAATCGTGGTTGTGAAATGACAGGATTACCCATCCGGCACCGGGGATCCCGGAGAAGTTGATTCAGGATATGTTTCACCACAACCGCAGTGCCTCGAGAGAAGGGCTTGGACTTTACATCAGCCAAAAGCTCGTTAAGAACATGAATGGAACTGTACAGTATCTTAGGGAAGCCGAGAGAGCATCTTTCATCGTTTTGGTTGAGCTTCCGGTGGCACCATCGTTGACTTCCGACAGCAAACGGTCGAAAAGAATCTGAAAACCGAAAGAAATCTTTCGAGATCGAGCGGAAACGGGAATTTGATGGATCGACTGTGTGTAACTGCTTCTATTTTGTACAGGAGGAAGATAAAGGAGTTTGAAGCTCATGAATTTTCTTTGTACCAAATTTTGAATGTTCTTTATAATATACGAGTCTTGTAACGTGCATAATCCATTCTTTTTTTATTAACCTGAATATCCAATCCGTTACGCGAGCTGATTAATCCCAGGCTGACCACTTGCTTTACGGGTGGTACAGAGTCACCGCATTTGAACCTCCATAACCATAAATTCAAATCGGAACCTCCATGCCTTTTTATATGGGTTTATGTTAGAGTAAATTGCAATTTTGGTCCTTGTGGTTTGTTGTTTTCCTTGAATCAAGTCCTTACAAAAAAATTATTGCAAAAAGAACCTTGTGGTATACAAAATTTTTGGTTTTGATCCCTCTTATTAACGACAGTTAATTTTATCCATTAAGTGAGGGGTGTTCTGGTATTTTTTTTTTTTCATTCTTTTTTAAAAGATCAACAAATTATGATTGTAAAATCATTGCATATCAAAACAATTTATTTATTTTTTGGGATAAAATTCAGATGCAGATACATCTCAACTCACCTTTTATTGAAATATACTCAAACCTATTTGGTATGATTATAAGTTTTTTTAAATCATATAAATTTTGTATCCCTAATACTGTGTAAGAATCTTTATCCTTACTTGTAGGGTAAAATTCTTGGTCCTTACCATGTACACCCAAGCAACTGAGACAAGTGACCATGTAAGCGTTTACTCAGGTAAGCATTTTTTAAATGGCCTCTAACTGTATGTCCATGAGAATTTGATTGTAGCTTCGAGTTCATGTGTCTAACGTGTGCTGCCAACACGGGGCCAGGGTCAGCCTAGACCCACCCTCACTCAAATTGTCCACACTTACGAGTCACTTCTCATCGATACATCCATAGTCAATTTGTTGAATGCTTGAAATTCTATCATCTGTTGTTGAGCTAAGTTTGAGATTAAGGCTCAACATTCATGCACTTTGAAGGTAAGATTTTTTTATTATTTTGTTTGGACAACCTCTATCGGGACAAAACTCGATCACAACTCAGAAGTATTATCAATATCCATGTTTTTTCTATTCGATTTGATGTGGATGTTGCTAATTTGAATTCTATGGTCGTTATGTATTGTAAGAGTGGTAATTTACAGAGTGCCTAAAAGATGTTCGATGAAATGTCTAAGAGAAATATTGTTATATATAGCACTCATTCACTGCTACTTTGGACTACTCCATTCTCAATCTTAGGGGGACTTCATAATGTGTTAGAAGTATCAATGAAAGTAAATTTGCTGGAGGTATAAGCTCTTTCAAAGTTGTTACGAGTATATGTGATGGTCACTCCACACAATATGCCTCATACTTGCCTCTTTATACCGGTTTGTTAAAAGATTGTGTTGTTTTTATATGGCTGAATAGCAAGGTCCGCCCTATGGTGGGCAGCCCAGCGCATCCCAAACCTAAGGGCATCAAATAGCCCATTACTAGTTGTGTGGTCATTAAAAATTAAATAGAATTGTTACTAGAAAAATTTGAACATGGGTCATCTAGTATTATCAATTTACTTATGAGCTAAAGATTATTTTATTTATATTTATCTAGATTTCGCTTTTAATATTTCTCTCCCTATTTCTCATTTTAGATTTCCGATTAATTTTTAAAGTTCATTTTTGTCTTGCTTTTACAACAATAAATATTTATTTAAGTAAAATTAATAGCACAATTAATATTTGTATATCTTATTATTTTAAAAAGATCTTATAATAATACTTGAAAATTCATTATTTTTGTTATGGATATAATTTCGTCAAACATGTTTATCTAAGGAATTAGTTGTGGATTTGTTGCTCGGTAAAGGGCATCTCATTATCACCAAAATCTCGTTTTTATATCAATTTTTCACACAATTTCACTACAATTTTACACCAACTGATGTTGGTGCAATGTACAACAAATTTGATATTTAATATTTATGCAAGTTTGATGTCTATATAATTTTATTTATTTGATTACAAATGCTATTTTAGTTATAATATTTATTAATATTATATTATAAATTATACTTATATTAGTTCATATATATATATATATATATATATATATATATATATATATAGGGGCTGGTTCAAATAGAAACCAACCATATGGTACAAACTATGTGAACCGATCTTGATCGTTCATTTTATCATCAAACGGTTATTATTAAATGAAATTAAATAAACAATAATTTAATTA